TATATACACTAGATAGTGTATCTAATTATTCTGCAATTCAAAAATTGAAGCCGTGATTGCAGACTCAGGATATTCCCATGAAATGAGAAGACTCGTATGTTTTCTATTTCTTAAACAGGGAACTTAAACATTAAGTTAAACCTATTCCAGATACATTTTCAAACTATTCAAATGATGAAAGTTATTGTTGTTTTTTAAGCGTTTATTAGCGAGCACCGAGTTAGCGAGTGGGAAACTCCAACATGGCCGCCATCTATTCAAATGGGGGTAACCGCTGGAATATTCTTGGCTTCAATTTTACTAAAAGAGATGCGATATCTAGTGTATATAAGATATCTATGGTTAGGTCTAAAATTCACACTCGAAATTTCCATCAACAAACATCTATACAGCCTCTACTTTAACTTACCTTTGAGCCACAGATCATCTTTAAGAGCCTCAGCAAGTGCTTCGACACCTTTGTCACCCAGCAAACTGTTCTTACATACAGTGATTCTTCGTAACCCCGACATCCTATCTAAGTCTGGTACACGATAACGTAGACTGTCTTGCCAGGCCAGACTATGTTTCTTTGTTGCTTGATACTAACGACAAATAATATTGTGTAATAATATTGAATTGATCAGCTCCAGAAACGAATTCTTGCCTGATTGTTTTGCTACAGCAGGGCTGCATAAAATATTTATTTTCTGGGACCACAAAGCCAACGAAAATATTTTCTGCATGCAAACACTGTGAATCTTTGTTTAAATTTGATCATCACTAAACAAGGTTCAGTGTATTCTATGCACCATTTCATTAGATTTGAAACCAAAATAGACGTATTTTACCCTGCTAGCAGTGGTTTCTAGCTGAGCTGAGGAGAAATCACTGCGAGCAAACGACTGACGATCGTTTCATTTTCTGCCAACCTCAAAAATTTTCTGGGACCAATGGTCCCGCAGTCCACTATATTATGCAGGCCTGTCAGCTACAGTAACAATCATGACTTGGTGGGTTTCAGCGAGGGTATACACGAGGGTATACAGATGGTGGTCAACTTTAATATCATTAGCTTCGACAAATTACAAATATTGACATTGTTTTTTCGTTTTTTCTAACTTAAATTATATTGGCAAGAGGACCTCAAGAAACATGAGGCTATTTTAAGACTTAAGAGTCCCTTTGTATGGGTTTAAGGTGGCTCGATACAGTTTTTTAAAAATGAAACATTTGCGATTTAGTATTATACTTGTTGAAAAACAAAAAACATCTTATTTGACTTATTAATATGTAAAACAACATATAAAGAAACGAAATTTTTCACATTTTTCACGAGATTTTCACAAAAGTTACGCAACTGCTGATGCTATGGCAATAATGACAATTCAATATGTAATTTTATCACTGAGTTATACATATTACTGCATGCAGGACGTGCTCGCCATAAAATAAAAGGTGAAGCCAAAAACATGATCGATCAATCACTATATTACACGGCTAAAAACACACAGATTGTTGCAAGTTGATATCGAAGGCGTGAACAATGTTGTGCGGCCAACTATGAACAAGTTGTCAACCATGTTGTTCCAAGTTGTTACAGTTGAACAATGCTGTAACAACATGTTGACAATACTGTTCATATAGTGGGCCGCACAACCTTGTTCACGCCTGTCGATATCAACTTGCAACAAGTTGTTGATCTTCTCAATTTTTACTCGTGTATATATAGTAATGAAATATCAAACAATAACTAATCCAGGTTAAATTCCTATATCATAGAGACCTTGATTAAATTTGCCAGCATTTCTGCTCCACGCCATGTCAGACAGCAACCAGTTAGATTTAACGATTGTAAAGAGTAACAGTTTCTGATAGCAGAGCTGATCACTAAAATATTTAATAAAATGTGATTGGGCGGCTAAAAAACATTTCTGGTCAGCGCCAGTCAGTTTTCCAGAACTCACGGGGCGACGAGGCTTTTTTGAATTCCTTCTTTTCTCAAGAGTTAAGGAGGGGCATTGTGCAGATATAGGAAGTATTTCTCCGGTTTCTATAAAGTGTATAGTGTTTTATGCTTTTAATAATATTAAACTGTCATCAAATAGAATAAATGAGAACTAGTATAAAATGACATCAAATGATCATTGAGAAGTACTTCAATTTGTAAGGGTATATTTATGGACCGCATTTGCCAAAAATGTGCACAGTTGAAAACGATGCGCGGGCTGACCAGAAAAAGAATTATGCATTGTTTATTATAAGGCCACATAAAAAAAGAGTTGGTTAGCGTCCTTAGCTTTTGCCAAAAAGTGGGCGGGCGGGGTTTTTTAAATTTATACTAATTTTTAACGCCTTGGTTTTAGGTCCGAAACTGGATTTTCTCGCGCAGTACAGATATTTTTTTATATATTTCAAAATATGATTCATACCGTCATTTTCGCACGCAATTTATTAACACAATCAACTCCACTCAACAGAAATACTATGCATATATCAGAGCCCGTTGATCAATAAATTTGTTTTTTTTTTAAATAAAAAATTTAAAAAAATCCTGAGCGGGGCCTTTTTGTGGGTGCGCGAGGACGCTACCCAACTATATTTTTTATGTGGCCTAATTTACTGTATTCACTGCATAGAGGGATGTCGACGGCGATGCAGTAAAGGAGTATACTCGCAGCCACTTGCATACATTGTATTTGAGAATTAAGTTTACCTTCAAATCCATTATCTCCAATTTGACAATTTTCAAATGAAAGATGTTTAAGGGTCTTGTTCCTTGACAGTCCCTGAATACAGTAGACAAAACGTCAGGGGTGGAAAAAATAGGCGAGCACGCGAGCACTGCTCGCAGGAAATATGTTAAACAGCTGCAGGAAATTCGTTTGAATGAAGATTTGCTGTTGAACATTTGAAGGAAACCTTAACACCCATGTCTCACTATGGCCGCAACAACATAGGGTTGACAGACTTAACAGACTTACTCCTTGAATTTAAAACCATGGTAACTAGAACACTATATGCTTATGCACATGCAGATTTAGCACAAAAATACTCCGTTGGTCTGCAGGAAATTTTTGTCTCCAGGTTGTGTAATACCTTCGAAAGATAGTTCAGATCACGACTCCTTAAAGGGATGTTTTGCAAAATCAACACCTCTAACTGTTCTGTAACACCTAGGCAGTCCTTTATAGCTCTAGAAAAAATATGATTTAATGTTAAGTAGTATACGCACATCCTATATATCATATGTATTATAATAAACCATAACTTACAGTAAGGTATATTGCATATGAGTATAAGTACAGTTAGGTATATTGCAGATGTATCGTAAATAGAGCCCATTCGTCCCTTTTTGTAGGCAAACATTCCATAGCTGTTATATTTAATGACAATTGGGATCACGTGACTTCTTAGTGCAACACACACACCTACTTACCGACATAATTTATATGTGACATCTTTTGATCTAATTGGCGGTGTCTTTTTACGACATGTAGTCAAACCACTGACAAATTCTAAATAATGTATGAGTCAGTATATATATTTTGAAATCCTATCACAAACAACGAAATCTATTATTTTTAGGGTGTGCTTTAGGGCAATATTTGCCAGCTAACACACCGATTAATACGCGGCATGCCTTTTTATTTTTTTTTAGTCTGCAGAAATATAGAAGGTTATAAAAATTCAATCTAGAAAAATCCAGCATAAAGATTACTAGGCATACTCTGGGACGGTAACTCGCCTTATATTCTCGCGTCAGGGAGTTCGCGTTATCGATTTTCCGTCTTCCTATTTGGCAGAAATGGACCAAATAATTGAAATATTTATGTTCAAATTAGTCTATACCGAAATTTTCAACGTTGTTTGGACATTCAGGGCGCAAGCTACGGCGTTTTGAAAATTCCTATAAATTTGACTGAACTTCCGTGAAAACGTTTCCACGATGGATTCTCTTTTACGAAATTTGCCCCTTTAGCAGTTTTCATTTTATTTTTATTCATTGCCATAATCAATTAATCATTATCGCAATTTTAAGTGTGAAGATATTCATGAAACCTTTATTTAAATTTGACGTCGTGACAAGCGAATCTGGTATCGTGAAAATGGGGGAAAAAATCCGCGCGAAGTTTGCAGCCTATCATGTGCAAAAAATAATCCGTATACATGTATAAACATTTCGTAATGTTATACTGTAACAAAAGAAATTGTGTTGTTAGTCTTTCTCTTGTCTATGGAGTGACTCGTGAAAAGACTAAATATTTTATGTGAACGCATTTTGGTGGAGGGGTATAGGGTGTTGTCGAATACAGTCAATGTTGGTCAGACAGGGATAATTAATATGTTTAGACCATGCGAGCAAAATTCACAATTTACTTCACAACGTGCCTGCAGAATAATCTTATTTTAGACTTTGAGACCTGAATTAAGTGTAGCAAACAGATTTTTCAAATAATAAATTACAGTAATTTTGGCCGCAATTGAACTTTCTCCAATCACTCCGGAATCGCTCCTGCAAAATGTATACCGCTATACCCTCTCAATTTCGTCTTTGGTTGATTTGTCGTTTCAAGCACCTTTAAGGAGGTTCATTGACATTAGAGGTAGGAGGGGGCTTAACAGAGAGGGGCGGGCTCCAGGAATTAACTTGTACACAGGGTTTATTTTAAGAAAAATTTAGAACTGCACATATACGGATGTTACGAAGGCAATGGGTGTTTGACTGGGGGGTCGAAGGATTTTTTACCTGCATATAGATGACAGAATAATGGTGTGGTTGGGTGGGAGAAAGGCCAGACAAACTCGATTTTGGGTGCGGGAACTAGGGTGTGTTCCCGAAAACAATTTGAATCTAGAGGCTCTTAAGTTCTGGCAAAGATTTGTTTTACCCAACCACTCACAAAAACTGTTTCAAAACATGTAACTGGGAATCATGGATATTCAATATATAACTCTAATCTCTTTTGGGTAGCTTCACTCACCCCAATTTTACCTCCCCAGCACGTAAGTGATTTGTGAGAAAAATAGGAGCGTCTGGAGTCCCCTCCCAGAAAACGTTTATATTTTTGATGCTCAATTAATGACAGCATTTCTGGAATTTTCTGGAGCATCCACAAGGGTAACAAGTAAACGAGAAGACTGTTTTAATTAAGGTTATTTTTGTTAGTTTGGCTGATGACTGCACATTTGTGTTTTAAGAACTGCACAAATGGGTTTAGAACTGCACATTTTGTGTAGAACTGCACGTTAAAATAAACCCTGCTTGTACAAATGATTGTTCTGATATTCTGTATAAATGATTGTGTTTCTTTATACACAGCTGTTATTTGACCTGTTTTCTGATGGAAAACCTAGAGCTTTAGCTGTTTGTCAGAGTGTGAATGAACTTGATTGGTTCTTTCCAATAGCCAGCAGTCACTCCAGACAATAAAACCTGAACCAGTTGCCCCAGATATGCTGACATTTAAAGTAAGCAAAGAGGGAGACATAATACGACAATCTCTATGACAACTACTGTATGGAGATGCAGCTTTCTGGTATTATTGTCACTACCTATGCTGGCAGGGACCATTCGAGTTTGGATCCCTTTGCTGTTTCTAAATTTCAGTGGTCTACATTGTCTGTACAGTTACTTTAAAATGGGCAATCAATGCGTTACTCTGCGAGCTAAGTCCTCTCGTTTTTCTTCTCCGTGCCATATCGAGAAGAAATACGAGAGGACTTTGCTCGCAGGGTATCATTACATTTTTTACCAGAAAAAGAAAACTTAAAAAGATACCGTATATTAAATTCAAAGTCAAGTGCAGGTGAGAAAATTACAGTATTAATTAAATTAAAAAACATTACAATTACATTTATTTGCTCAGCTGCAGTACAAAAATGGAAATGTCTCACAGAAATTGGCAGAGTTGGCATATGTCTGTTGCCTGCACCCTAACCCTGATCACAGTGACATTGAAACAAAGTCCCTGACCAATTGTCATCCTACACCTATTCGCAGGTCAGGAATAGCCTACATCAGGAAATCACCAAATAGACCATACAGAACACCGACTTGGTTCTTGGTTTCGCCTATAATTTTGGCGTAACTGTTGCAATGCTGTTGCCATGTTCCTAGCCAGTGCACTTACGAAAGGCATTCACCCCCTGAAAATATTCAAAATTTGTAGATGTTCAGGGGGGTGAATGCTTCTCATAAGCACACTGGCTAGGAAATAGACTCACAGCGAGCAATCTCGTACCCAGAGCCATCTGGGTACGAGATTGCACAGCGAGTGCTGAGAACCCTAAAGGCCCATTTACACGATACGATTAGTTGTATACGATTGTCATTCTGACGAATGAAAACGAGTGCTAATGCCACGTTATTGCTCATTCGCTGATGGCGAAATTTGAAATGTGACGTTTGTACGCGTGTTTATTCGATCACATACGCCAGAGTAAGAATCGTATACAACTAATCGTATCGTGTAAATGGGCCTTAACGGCTGGGATCTGAGCCTAGCTAGGAAAATGACGAGTGCATTTTGATGACAAATCGTTGCGAATCATGGCGCGGTGGGGATCATCACACTTTTTTTTGCCGCATGGTCTCTATAGCTGGGTTTCAGTCACGTGATAAGTTTAACGCTTGGTGGTCAACTCCAAATGAAAACACATTTATCGGATCAGATTAAATATTCATTATTATACATTTAGTATGTATTCTCGTTCCTGATTGGTCAGAGCACACCAGTCGGATAATTCTCAATATTCGGTACTTATTACATAATTTCAGCTGCTGACGTACTCGGCATCCAATAATAGTTTGTTTGAATTGAACTTGCATCCAAAAAAAAATATTGGACGCTGTCTTGCCCAAGCCCCAGCATGGCCAAGAACTCAAACCCAAAAGCACGCGAAAATAAATATACTTGAAACATTAATAAACTTTGTTTAATCGTTTTATTGGATTCGGCTTTCGCATGACATCAAGAATTATTCAGACCTCAGTCGATGTTAATATCCGCCTCAGCTTCGCTTCGGCAGATATAACATTGAACTGGGTCTGAATAATTCTTGATATCATGCTCAGCCTCATCCAATAATTGTTTATTATGTAATAGCGTATTAAATTCTTTTTATATAAAACAGACTCTGTTAAATCTGTTTTATTGTCAGGATGGACTGGCAACAAATACCTGATTGTCCAGTGTTAACTTTCTCTTGCCAGTAACTTCTCAAAGCGATAACCTTTAAGTGTTTATTTATCCTAGTTGCGTTAAGAATTGGATTCCAGTCTTGCAGCGGAATTCTATCTGCATTACAGTCGACAGTTTCGTCTCCCAAGTTGGCTGTAACGACACTCAACGGACAACAACCTTGTAAAGCACAGAGATTTTCGTAACAACTCTTGAAGTCAACGGCATTCTGTTGTCGTTGCCGGACAGTTTCAATCATTTTCTTTATAAAATTGCAAAAGATTGCGCTTCAGAAAGCAATTTCCAGTTATTTTTTTAAGGTATTTAAAATGAAAAAGTACAGTTTGCATTATTTTTGAAAAATGGCGCCGAGTTGTTTATGTCGTGCATTGGGAATGGTAACTAGTTTTTAAATAAATTCAATATGGCGACCAGGAGAGGAGTTGGAATAATTTTTCGGCAATTTTTGCGGCAAACAAAGAACAACCGAATAAACACAACTATAATTCCTACTGCATGTTATAGTACTGACAAGGAAGAAATTACTACTAATCCATTTTTTGAAAAATATGCTGGGAAAATCAAACGTGCCCAAGGCAGTGAAAGGTGTGTATGTGTACTACTGCACTGTCACCACTGACACTGTCACCACTGACACTGACACTGCCACTACTGACACTGCAGGAAGACAGGAAGTATACAATATAATAAGGGGGTGATTTACGTTTGGATTCATTAACCAAACATGCCATGGTGCTCACCACTATCTGGGCATGCTCATTTGACCAACAAAATCCATGCTTGGTGACTGTTGGTGTGCTATATTATGCAAGTACACTGGTCAGAAGTCATATAACCAAAGTGTATTATTATTACCATATTGACCAGTATATACCACCATATGGTATTTAGTAAAGTAGCAGAATACTTAGGAGTTTTTAACTGGCCCTAAAAACTGAATCTTCAATGGAGTTTTGAAACTTACTCATCTCATCAGAAGTTTCAATGCATCCAAAATGAAGTTGTTTGAGTAAATTTACTACTAAAAATTAAAAATATGAACAACCACATGCAATTTATTTTACAACACAAGAAAACCACGAAAAGAATACCCACACATCCTATATAGCTTATTGCAGAGCTTCCAGGATGATGTAGCTTATTATGGAATTTGTGTTGCTTCTACCCTGGGAATTGTGTGCATGAAAAAACAGGTTTGGTTTCCATTGGTAATGGCAGGTGTGGTTTCCACTGGGAATAATAGAAAATCCTGTACATTCTGGTAAAGTTTACTGCAATATGTGATATGCAGGTTAAATATTCAAAAATACAATGTATCATTGATAATGATCCGTAACGCTTTGTGGTTCTTTTCACTCCCTCTTTGACATGCATCAACTTGATCTATGCCCATTGATGTTGAAAGGTGTCAATTGCATTTAACTATATGTAGCAATGACAATCCAAATCAAAGCAAGACATCATCTTCAAACTTCTATGAGAATGCTCTGGATGAAGAGCTTGAGAATTTTAAAGCAAAATCCAAGAAGGTAAATGTACTGTAAATTAAAACAATGTACTGTAAATAATAATGTTTAGCTTATATTTACAATACAAGTTTCTCCATTATATTTTAAAATAATTTGTGTGTGTCAGAAGATTTTTAATTAAGATCTTGTATTGACGTCATATGCAGCTGATCCTTTTGACCTTAGTATAATCTTTTGTTTGTTTGTATACTGTAGTTAGCTCCTATTTCAGGCATTGGTCCTATGGCCATGTGTTATCTTAGAAACTATACTAAAGTTTAAACTCTAAACAAAGTATTAAAGTGAATATATTTAAACTAGATTCTACAGCCAAGCCTAGAACTTCAGTAAGAGCTGTCCTTAATTCATCTTGTGTTTCTGGAAGAGGAAAACGGAGTACAAAGTGGAGAAGTGGCTGTCTAGCTGGGAACTCTCTTCTCACAGACAACTAAGCCGAAATTATATAAATCATGCAAAGTACTGCAGAGTATGGCAGTTTTTGAATGCAAGTTTGTAGACGTATTTCTGTCTGAAATTTATTCGAATGTGCACTAAAATTGGTGTTAATGTTAAAAAAATGCCAATAATATGCAACAAACACTAGTTGTATAGACAACGATATAGTTATTCAAGTGTGCAAAGTTATTGGACAAAAAATCTCGTGTGTGCACTTGCCATACTCTGCAGTCAGGAATTTATTGAATTTATTGCAAACAACTACACATTCCAGAATTTGAAGAGACGCGCATAAACAAAAATATCTGACGAAGACGTTTACAAGTACTAATAATATACATGAAAAAATTTCTCAATTCTGATTGGCTAAGAGCAGTGCAATTTTTTCGAAATACAGTGCCGAAAAATGAAATACAGTGCAAAAAAAGAAATACAGTGCAAATTTCTTAATTTTTTAAATTTTCTTAATTTTTTATTTTTCAAATTTCTTAATTTTCTTAATTTCTAAATGTGACCATGTTACTTACGCACGTGAATCTTTTCATGTATATTATTAATAAGTAATAGTATGGTTCCTCCTTTTTATCATTGTTTTATTATTTAATTTTTTTTTCACTATTTGAGCTAGTTTTGCGAAACCGTATCGAACTCTAACGGCTCAGTGTGAACAGACGTAAAACGCGGCGTCATTATTTCGCTCAGTGTCATTATTTCGCTCCAACGTAATATGAACGCATTCTTAGAATTTATATATTTAGTATTCATCACTTCAGTTGTAGATTTTGCAGACAGATGTGCAATGTAATTATAGGTAATAGTATGGTTTCGAGTGCAATTTGGAAAAAACATACACGAGTGAATTTTTCAAAGACTATACTGTATCAAAATTGCACGAGTCCGAAGGACGAGTTACGAGTACAATTTGAAGTCTTCGAAAAACTCACGAGTTTATGTTTTTTTAAATTGCATAATAAAACATACTGAAGTGGAGCAAGACAAAGACAGTGACACTGTTCACACGACACCACCAAGCGCTCCGTCATTCGCGGTGTATATAAAAAAATATACAGTAAACAACCCTGGAAAAGAAAGAGATTACAAATTCCATACTTTGCGTGATTGCCTTGTAAGATCCAATACAGCAACACTCGTACAAAGTTATGATAAATGCTTCGTTTCCAACTGATTGTTATCGTAGACAATCTAGAGGAATAGACTGGAAACATCAATGCAAAAAGTCGTCATTCGCGACATCCATGATATGGGCTATAAACCTATCAAAACCGAACCTGTGAAACTTAATAAGAGGAATAATGTTTTATACAACTCTCGCTCAGATCAGTCACTGATCTATAAAAAAACAGCGATTGCGATTTCTTTTTGGGCGTTCCTTTTAAGCGCCTGGGTACGAGTTGCCGATTACAATTACTGTATTACAGCAAAAATTGACAATATAGACTGCAATGTTGTTGTCGAAGCATCCAGTCAAAATTTAGTCTGATTCTCTGACATCAGATTGACGCAACTGTCACATGTCTTTGACTTTACACTCTAAAACACTCTGGTTAAACCTGGTAACCTAGAAATAGCCCTATTTGGTTAACTTAATATTCCTGGTTAAATTTCCAGGGGTTTTTTTTATCTCACTTCTTACCATTACCTGGTTAATGTAACTAGGAATTCAAATCTGATTATATTTGACCAGGACGTCCTGGTTAAATATAACCAGACTATGGTATTGTAGGTGGATAAATAACCAGGGGCCCATGCTGGTTTCCTGTTAAAAAAGGTATGATTGTGACTGTACATGCAATATCTTCGGCAATATCATGGATAGCACGTGCACCGCGCAAAACAATGGCATTTCCAGTCCATTCCTCTCGATTGTGATTATTGATTACAAAGCCAACATGAGATATTTGGTAACTTGTGTGTTTTAGACGAAAAGCACAATCAGTCCAAATTCTCGCAGTGGATCACAGTCACTCTATGGTCAAAAGGTATCTCGTATCTTAGTACTTAGCACTTTCCAGAGGACGACGTACGAACAGGACAAAAGTAGAACTTTAGTGAGACCGCGTCTGAAATCCCTTCCGTGTATCTCTAGAATGCAGTCCGCTATCTGTACTATTCAGATCGGTTCGAAATATTTTATAAGTACGTAAATAAGTATAAATATTGAATTGCGAAGGGCGCTCAACCTAATCGAGTCGAAGGCTTTCCAACGGCTCCGGGAGACATTACGACTCATATCTGATCACGCAGCACAGCTACGGTGGAAGGGTGAGTTCGTGGCTTATTCCAACCTGTGACAGGAATCCGCAGAGTTGACCCGGAAAAAAACCACGACTTTCAGTGGACCGTAGCGTTGACAGACACTTCTCACATACGTGTCATGAGTCCGCAGAAGGAATCGAACCCACGACCTCGGAGGTGAATCGAAGCCCTTACATGCATGATTCATCCCAATCCAAATTCGTTCCGGAGAAAGTCACTTCGGTCTAGCGGACAGGACGACTTCAGACTAGTTGGTCTCAACAATTTGTCATACTGTACAAAGAGCGCCTAGGCACAACAGTATATCTGAAACAAAATATCACACTCTGACTTCGTGCCAGTCTAATGTAAGTAGTTTCATGTAAATTAATTGTGTCGCTCTGAAATGTGATGGCAATAATTTGGTATTAAAACTCATGGAGATTTTCTTTTTACTTCCGTTAGAGCCTGGATGCCATAATGAATTTAGAGAAAGTTAAAGAGGAAAGTGCTAGTACAATAGAAGAGGTAACAATTTAGGCTGGATATTTTTAGATTAACCAGTAAAATTTCCTGGGATGCTTTCAGTCTTTAGAATTTACTATACTACTTGTACGCATAGTCAACATCGGGCAGAATATACTGATTTTTTGTGATTTATGAATTTTAATTCTAACCTTAAAAGTCATAATTCTGATGTAATTTGTGCTGGTGGCAAAAAGTGAAAGTACTGTGAACAAACTGCTTCCCCTTCATCCAATGAAAATAGGTTATCTCACCTGTTTATCGTTTTTCAATCTATTTACAGCTGTGGAGAGAATATCATAGGGACAAGGATTCTGTTTCTGCTGTTATACCTGTACGTTAAGGCATACGTCGTGGATATAGTCCTGTAACGTATTCAAAACCATGTACCATTTATATTCACGTCTATATGTAAACCTTTTTGGTTCTCAACTGTTTTACTTCCCAAAAGTGTTTTTACTTTCTAAATTTTTTATAAATAAATCTTAATACCCTTTTGGTTATAGGCTGAGATGTATGATAAAATACAAGAAAGAGCCAAACAATACCCAATTGTAAGTAGTGTATATATAGTACAGATTTCGGAGTAAATTACTATTTCAATTCCAGTCTCTTACCCACATGCAAGAAGAAATCTGCAGGCCAGCCATCTGCGCGCCAAGACAATTCCCTAGTCACTAAGCGATAGGTCTTTTTCCCTTTGGGAGCTTAGATTTACCCTAGGAGAGATTTTTTTAAAACAGTAAAGAGGGTGCAAGTATATATTGAGTATATCGTTTTATGTTGTGTCAGGACGATATAATACCATAATCTTCTCTCTTAAGCCCCCAGAGACTTATTTTGATAGAGAGAGGGCTTAATAATTTCTTCATCTAAAAAGGGGGGCTTATTGGAGAGGAGGGGCTTAATAGAGAGATTACGGTATGTATTTTGACAAGACTTGAAAATCTGTAAAATAATTTGATATTTGTATAGGTAATAGTATGGTTTCGAGTGCAATTTGGAAAAAAACATGCATGAGTGAGATTTTCAAACGAGTTTTTCCGAGTCCGAAGGACGAGTGCAATTTTGAAGTCTTTCTGTCTTTGAAAAACTCAACTTAATTTTTCAAATTGCACGAGAAACCATATTATTACATGAAAAAATTGTACAGTCACGTGCGTAAGTCACATTTAGAAATTAAGAAATTACGAAAATTAAGAGATTTGAAAAATAAAAAATTAAGAAATTTGAAAAATAAAAAATTAAGAAAATTAGGAAGTTTGCACTGTATTTCGAAAAATTTGCACTGCTCTAGCCAATCAGAATTGAGAATTTTTTTCATGTATATTATTAGTACAGCATATTCAGTTTATCTCAGTCTGTCTCTACACTCGTGCATTAAATTTCACAACCGTGATTTCAGAACATTATTTTCAGTTTATCTATCCCATTCCACGCAATGAAGGATATGAATTGATGGTTGGAGAGTTTTTAGAAGATCAAGTTTACTTAACATCAGTCATAAATTATCAGGTACGTCACTCTGCCGTATTCTGGGTACGTATGTTATACAAAACTTTAGCTTTCATTTGCCAACCCAGGATATTATTTAATATACAACATTGCAGTTCATGTGGAAAATTAACGCCTGTATTCTAAAACTCACACTCAATGAGTGGAGGTTCAATCTGAGCTTTTCTTGAGTGTCAATGCTGTTTTTGAATAGCTGGAGGGTGAGTAGTCATATAGTAAGGTACGACACTAACCCTGCAGCTATTCAAAAACAGCATTGACACTCAAGGGAAACTCAGATTGAACCTCCACTCATTGAGTGTGAGTGAGCTTTTAGAATACGGGCGTAAGATTTACTACATGAAATGAGATCCTGCCTTACTTCACCAACCGACTCATTCCATTTAGTTATGTACATGTACTCCAATTAACTGGTATGTATTGGTTTTCATTTTTAGACACTGGGAGAGAACTCCCCGTGGCTCATTGCTTTTACGCATTTTACAGAACTAAAAGAGAGCAAAGGTGCTGTGATTTTGTCGTGCTGTTATATCTTAAATACAGGGCATGTACATGATTCTGTCGCCAAGTCTTCGTCCACAGGGGAGCGGATTAATTCGTGGCCGTACTCTAACTTGCACGATTTTGCTAATAAGCCATTTCCGAATTACGGTCGAATGTCCATAGACAACGGCGTGAGCACGAGGCTTCGTGCTAAATTGTAGTGCTTCTATAGAAAATTAGCACCGAGCCTTGACTTGGGGTTTTTGTTGGAGCGAAATTCGTCAATGGTATATTGCGTTAACAGGAGGACGCATGGGACGGGACGAATTGGAGCATACCTAACCGTACGAATTTCCTGCGTGAACAAATGTAACCGAGCGAGTTAGCCTTACTCGCGCTCGGTTTATCCACCATTTTGGAGATATTGGTTCTCTATCTTGAGAGTGTAAACACCGCGAAATGTGAATTTTTGTAACTGTGGTTGTGTGTATTATGGTAAATGTACAACTTTGTAAAGTCGCTTTTCATTCGTTTTAATCGTGTAGATCACGAGGGAAGGCAGTACCCAAAAATGGCGAATACTGGCCCGTGTGAGAAAGGGAAATTGCGTACGGTTCCAAATTCGTCCTGTCTCGTGTTAACATAGTCTACATGCAGCAAGCGCATTAAGTCACATCATCATTATCATCGTCATCATTTCTGTGACACAGACTGTTTTCCAATAGACCTTATATGCATAATGACGACACAAGGCTTGATGCCCGCGAGGAATGCTGGTCTTAGTAGTCATCGCCCAGGAGAATTAAACAATTCAAAATGGCCACTATCGAAATTTTCCCGGGCGATGACTACTAAGACCAGCATTCCTCGCGGGCTTGATGCCTTGTGACGTGATTATGCAAAAGATCTACTGAAGCATATTTACAATGCAGCCTATACTCCACCCTATAGGACTGGCTTTGGCCTAACTTGGCTAGCGCTGATTGGCTGATAAAACTAGTCGACCATGGAATCGGTGAAGCAGGCCAGCCCTAGATTTGTAGTATAAACACGGCTTTGGTCTTGGGGACTTTGAAACCTTTTCAGCACTTCCTTGACGTGAAGATTGATGCCTTTTCTTGCAGGAATTGTTTTAATGGTAGCAGAAGTGGATACAAACCATCTTGTAAGTGCAGGACCATCACCAGTGCACTGTGGGAAAACGATCAAAGCCTTGTTATAAGTCGCCCCAGTCTCCTGTGTGCTCGCGGTCAGAGTTAACTCGTGCTGTTATTGAAATTTCTATCCTAAGAGCTAGTAAAAACTCCAAATCAATATTATCCTGAATTACCAGTAATTACCAACATGTAACAAAAGTGTTCTATTTTCCAGGCGACTCATGAAGCAATGTTTATTGCAAATCTAATCCAACTTTACTATGGCACAGATGACGAAAACAAACTCTCCTTATTGAAGACATTTAATTTAAATCCTGATCAATTTAATCATATGTCCGTGATAGAGGAAATGCAAAGAAGTACCGTTCAGGCTTCGGTCGACGAATAATTTAGTCGATTGACTGTATTCGTAAAAGTTACTCCCACATGTACAGGTTAGGTATGGCCTGGGGCAATCCTGCACCTCCCTCCATCTTTCCTATATTAACTGCGGGTTTTTTCAGAAGTCCAAAGACCATTGAGGCCAATTGAGATCATTCCCAGGCTCGTGTTAAACCAATTTTATTTGAAAAAATTCTAATTGTGGAACACAGAGAATATTAAAATAATTTCATCTAAATAAAATAAAACATCATATACATATATGATATTAATATTTACACAATTCCTATCAACGTTCACGTTTCAAAAGGTTTTCTGTAAGTTCAACTAAAGCATCTCTTTCTGGAGAATGTCGAAGTTTCATAAGTTGTCTTGTTGCTTCACGACTGTGTTGTCTTGCTAAACTCATTGTTCTCTCTATGCCAGTACTCTGAAAATATTTGAATGAAAATGTTTGAGTAACTGAAGATTGTTAACTCGATAAACAACAGTCTTTTGTAGGAGATACTGCAGCCTAGACCTAGAGCCTTTACTCGGCAGGCGGCATTCTATTTGCAGGTTAATCGACTTCAATGACGTCACTAGGCGGGCCCCAAAGGTTCCAGTCTTTTTCGCGTGAAGAAGCGATGAAATGTAAATAGAAGGGTCTACAGGCTGGGAGATACTGTACAATTATCTGAAAATACAAAAAGAACTTAGACATTTCGAGTTCCTTCGTCTGGAAATTAGCACTCGCTACTAACTTCCAGATCATAAGCCTTCGCTCGAAACATCGACGGTTTTTTGTATTTTTCGAGTAGTTGTATTTCCTACAAACAACTGCTGTTTGTACTCATCACTAGCAACACTGACACCGACCGTTCGGGTTAAGTCGATAGCTCTATTAATCGGTAGAGCGTCAGCGCGGTTCGCAGAATACGCAGGTTCAAAACACTGTTGCGCGCATAAATATGGCTTGTGCACATAAATATGGATTTGAATTTTTGCTCTCCCCATTTGACTCGATAGCTCAACAATGGCGCATTTCATCGTGGAGACAACAATTCTCCTGTGCATGCCTACTTAGCGGTTAATGCGCAGGAGACTGGGAGATAGCCAGCTCGCAGCCCCCCACCCGAAAATTTGAATTCCGGTTTTCCTTTGAACGAAATTTCAGGCTGCGAGCAGGCTACCTAGGAGACTACCTGATATCGGCTTATTGGAACAGCTTTACCCCAAGTCTGTTGCAGACCTTTTAACATTTGTGCGTTTTACCGCGTGCATTATCCACTGTGTGATCAAGCCGTGAGAAATTAACGCCCTAACTGCCATATCAAACAGTACCTTTTTCACTAAGTCGTATGTTTCTTCGACATCATTCTCCCCTTTAAATCTTCGCATTATGAACGCAGTTATCTCTGGGAACTGTATATCAAAACAGCATATATAATAATCATTTAATATTTACTTGCCGCTGTAGCTTGTAGCAATTGTTGCAGCCACGGAAATCCTTTAGAAATTATTTATACAAGCCCTTTTTCATTTTAGAAAAAGGTCGATTGAATTGTGAGTTTTCACGAGTTGGTGTCGGGGAAATATTTATTAAAGCCCCTTTACCACTATATATGGAAATTTTTGAGTGTCAGTTTTTACAGTTTAATATTAGACCTAACCAGTTGCGCAACTGCTCGTGGTTAGGCTAATAGACCCATTGCACATGACGTCACAGCGCCGGTGACGATGCATCTGGAGGACAAATTAGCAATGTATGCATAATATAACTGTTGTAAACAAAGCAAATTTTGTAAAACTTTATAATAATTTTGTATTAAAATGGTTAATTTTTGCGCTGTATGTGGTTGTTGTGCCCAAACAGATATTGTTAGAGAGCATCTGGAGGACACTCTAAGGATTTGTGACGTCAGTGCAATGGGTCTATAAATAATTGACACTCGAAAGTTTCCACCTACAAAACCCTTCTTCAATAATTAATTTTATCGAGTGTAGATGCGCAAAATCCTAGTGATATTTGTATTGGGTTGTAGCAATAATCTCTCTGCGATCGCCTTTTAGACGATGTTTTATTTACGTTTAGTTAGAGCCCGTGTTTTTCAGCGGCAAAGTCACGAAGTGTTAGAACATGCGCATGAGAGCATATATGGCGTGCGAAGGAAAACAGTGTTTTACCACTTGTAATTTTCCGTATTTTTTATTAAAATGAGTTGAAACCTGTTTTTTGGCTATATTTACTGGCAATCCCAGTACAATATTTACCCATACACCTTCACCACTACGTTTTCCGCACCGGCGATGCGAACCGAAAAATAACGTTTGCAATGTGATTGGTTAGCGACCGAGAAAACGCTTAGCATCGGTTATGAAGTTCTTCTGGGGGAGTGGGGCTTTGGATTTGACCAAAGGAAAGGCTATGCTTCACTAAAACTAGACGGTTACGACAATTAAAATGTTAATTATGTTATATACGTAATAATCATGCACAATTACACGTTACAGAAAGAAATCTCAGGCCAATGTACCTCTTCGCTAGCGAATAATACTGGTCCAGTTGCAAGACCTAAACGTAGATCAGCAGCTGCTGGCTTGCCCAGAACCTCCTGACTAGAATTAAAATCTAAGACGTCGTCTACCAACTTGAAATGGAAAAAAATGTCAATATATTAGAAAAGTTAATATTGTAGTAACCAAGATTAACATTACAGGGTATAATAATTCGCGTTATACTTGTACGTCCCGGAGGTACGCCAATAGCGAGGTTCAGATTTGACTTCCCATACCGCTACCATTATGGGGACCGATTAACCAATCAGATGAATTTGAACTATCCGATTTACCAATTAGATGCGCACTAAAACCAGTGAAAGGTAGTGGTTGGAAGTTGAACCTCTGGTCAGGTATTTCTTTGTTTTCAGCTATGTACGCGGGACTCTCACTGCCTGCTTATATTCTGCAGCCTGCTGGTATCTTATGACCACCAAAATTTCCAAGCTATTCACCTGAAATGCCATGCCAAGGTTTTTTCCATACTGGAATGTGAGATCTTGTAATTGTTTTGAACCATTTGCCAGTAGAGCAACCTGGATAATTCATATCACATAGTTTCATAACCGAGCTAAATTTAGTGAGTACAGTTCATTCTGCCTGTAGTCTCAAGCAGTTGACTTTTGCTGACAAGTGTACTACATCTACTGCTTGGGGTAACCTACGATATAACGTGTCCTGTCGAGGACTAGAATGATCACCATGAAGAAGGCATGTGCTTCATGGCTCGCAAAGGAATTGTAAACGTTTATCTTTATTAATTCAGCAGTGAAAGCCATGTTACACCAGGTAATTTTTGCAATTTACAATGCAATTTTCGACACAGAGCCATGTTATCTGAAAGTAGTCAGTCACAGAAAAATATGAGCATGGCCCAGTGGCCCACATTATATTATGCCGACACTTTCACTCTTAAGAGATGAGAAAGGTCGGCAGAATAAACTGTGGGGCTCAGAATTTTTCTGTGACTACTTTTTAGACAACATGGCTCCATGTCAGAAATTGCGTTGTAAGTTACATGCAGCAACAATTACTTGGCCTTAACAATTACTTGGCCAAGTTATATTTTACAGTAGTATATAGATAGTAAACTGTATATACATGCAGTAACTTACTGATCTACATGTATATGCCAATAAACTTGCAGTTTTCTTAAACGTTTTATCTAAATAATGTGTAAATCTTTCATTTGGATCTTCTCGTGATCCCATTTGCATAAATTCCCCTGAAACACAACAAACTAAATGTTACCTAACATATATTTTGCAGTACGTGCAATTTGTCTATCTACCATCGATTCCTATATGACGAAAGGCGGTTTCAGAAATTCAGTCTGCCGTACTTGACGTATACTTACACAACACCTAAGGGAAGGATAGGGAGAGATCTGCACCCTCAACTAGTTTGTAACACTACACACTCCAGATGTCATCTTCGAGGGATACCCTAATTTTGATGAATTTCTCATCTCTTTACTAAACATGCATTTCAGAATTAAATCTTTGCTGCACACATACGATATTCTGATGCCAAAATAGCGTTGAGTCTTTGAGAAAAGAGCGCTCACGTCAGTATAAAGCGCGGATCAAACTAGGATGAGAGTTGGCAGTCACGCGACCTTGGTTAGCTGTTCTTATCAAGTATTCTCTTAAAGCTAAAACATAGTGGAACACTCGTCACACCTTTATTTTGTTAATGTAGAGCATGAAATGTCTCCTGTAACAAGGTGTGACTGCCAACTCTAATCAACTCTCATCCTCGTTTGACCGGGGCTTACTAGACCGTTACAACCATTGCTACCCATTCGCATTTTCGATAATTACGTCATGAATACTTGGGCCTGGGAGCTTCACTCTCATGAATCAAGACAACAAAATGCTATTCGCTCACGATCAATGAGAATGAGGCTCCTGGGCCAAGGAGGGAGTACCAAGAATTTAAATTATATATTATGTGAGCGAACTGGGTACCGCAGATTTCTATTTCATAATACCTCTTACTAAGTCATCTAGAACTGTCGCCAATAGTTGAATAACTTCAGTATTTTCAAGTCTTGCTAACGCTATAGTTGCTCGTGACATTATATAGTTTCCTGCTAAAACTGCTTCCTTCTCCCCCCAGATACGATGTGTAGAAGGTTTCCCCCTCCTTGAATCAGCCAAATCAATGATATCATCGTGAACAAGACTAGCAGTATGTATCATTTCAGCAACTCCAGCTATAGTCTTTTGAGCACTTGATAGTAAACTGCAAAGGAACGAAAAATTAAAGTTTCTTTATTGAGTACCTGACAGTGTTACTGGAATCAAACTAAGCTAACTCAACTTTAAAATGTCATTTTGGATGTTTATCAAAGCGGTTAACCGGGTCAGCCATAGGGGTGCACCGGAACTCGTTTTTTTCAGAGTTCCGGTCGGAACTAATAAAAAAACTCGGATCCGGTTCCGGCCGGAACTTAAAATATTGCTTCCGGTGCACCCCTAGTCAGCCCGTAACATATTTGTCACTTTACGCAAAGAGCCTATATATTCGTAACTCTCATGCCTACATCATTGTTACTATTGTTCCAGTTAACAATGGCATAAAAAAACAAAGGTTACTAATTATCTTGTAACTATAACTCTTACATGGAAAATTGTAATGACCATCGAACTAGACAATAAAACTGCATATGAGTTACCCAAGTAGCAACAGCATGTAACAAGCGTTAACAATTAATTTAGAAGTTTAAAGCATTAGTCAAGCCGAACTCCTAGCGTCCCAAAGGTATTCGAAACCGTGAAATCATTCATTTCCTTCACCTCGTTCCCAGGCTCTCTACACGCGCCTACCTATATTCTGAAAGTTACAGTACATAGTAGTAATTATAAGGACCTGACGAAAGGCTTCCGATCGAAACGTTGAAGTTTCTTCAGTTCTTCTTCTGTGATCCATGAAGCCAATTATTTATTACTATAATACTAACAAAAACTTGCGTGCAGTCATAGCGAACTTGAATGCCTGACTATCTAATAAACATGAACCTCCAGTTGTATGATATACTGTATATGTACACACCACAGTACCTTTCCTGGTGATCATATACGTGTTTGTTGCATACTTTAGCCATAAGAAGAATAACTGCAGGTCTGAACAGTTTCCCTTTGCTATCAAAATAATATTGCGTAATGGTTTTCAGTGGTTCTAGTGGTGTATTTAGCTCCTGGAAAATAAGAAATGTTGACATAGATGAGACTTTGCTCTCCAGATTACCGAATATGTTGCCAAACTATTATTAATATAAACATACTTCTGTAAAAAAGCAACGAGTGTAACGATTAAATCCGTTTTTGTATCCTCATACTGTACTGTCTGAAGGTGGAGGCAAACTTATTTTCATGGAGAATCAGAGTAATATATAAAAAGTGAACCGGAAATGATGTTTTAATGTAATCGTGCGCGGGGTGGCGAGCGAAATGGAAAACGGCCTTAAGTTGTCAAAGTCTTACTGCTGCTATTGGCAAACAAGTTAATTTTGGCTTGGAAATAAGTATGAATGACACCAATTATTTGATATGGTCAAAATTGTTAAAAAATTTCCATCCCGGTCAGGGTGATGAAGGATAAAGTCTTCATGTGGAAAATATTATCCCATTTGACTGAGATCGCACCTAGCACAAGGTGAGATTATACCTAGTTGAATTTTGTATACGTTAACAAAGGCATGATGCAGATCTCGAACACTCTATTACAATTACATCTTTTGCTAGGTACATTGTAGATCATACCAAAATTACAGCTTAGGCTCTGGATACACAGGAAAAAATTTAAACTTCCATTTAATGGTTTTTAGAGATTTACAATGTATTATCAAATAATGTAAAAACTGAACTCTTACTATTATTGGTTATTATAGATTTCTCATAAGGTAAATTGGTAAAAACTATGATATTTATTATCTCCTGGTAAATATTAAACATCATGGTTTTTACTAATTTAGGTCCATATGGGAAATCTATAATACCCAATAATGGTTTTACATTCAAAAATCCATTAATGGAAATCTAAATTTTTCCCTGTATTAAGACGGTTTTCCAGTCCTCGCACGAAGCTACTCGCAGCTCGCTGCGAGTGATGCATGAGCACTTTCATCCAATCACAATGCAAAACAGTTAATTTTAATTAGATGCAAGCACTCGCAGCGGGCTGCGAGGAGCTTCGTGCGAGGACTGGAAATCCGCCTTTAGGCTTACGTTTTGGTGTTAATTTTGCATAGTATTACTTTTTCATATTTTTCATACAAAAATTATGATCTCCAACGGTTTTATCTCCTTACAGTTGATTTCACACAACTTTTCCTTAAAATATTGCGTAAACGTTAAAATATTGCGTTCCGAACTGCGTTGTGAAGTTCAAAAGTTCATACTGAATTTCACAAGTCGGTTTGTAAACAATGCACTTGATTGGCTTACTTCTGTTCAGGGACCAATCAGAGGCTTTGTTTACAAACCGGCTTGTGAATTTCAGTATGAATGTTTGAACTTCATAACGAAGTTCGGAAAGAAGTACGCAATATTTAGGGAAAAGTTTCGTGAAATCAACTGTAAATACTTACATTGAGTATAGAATTATTAATATCTCTTAATTCATTCTTTACAAAAATATGAGGATCAATATTTGTGTGTTGTTCATAAGTAGCTTGTGAGTAAGATCTGTAAAAACAAGCATACTGGATTAATTAAAGGTGCTATACAGTCCGATCTGCGCATGTGCACAAAGCAGCCCACTTTTTATGATACAAACAGTTTAACTATGTTTTGGGTTCTTGAAAAGCCTGATTGTTGTTTCTTGATCATTTATTATACTCCAGAAGCTTGAAAATATAAGTAGTGGTCGAATAAAGCTCAATATTTTGGACACAAAAATGTAAACAAAGGCTTTGTTTACATACGGACTGTAGGGCACCTTTAAAATCTATTGTTAAAAATATTTTCAATCCAAACAATGCACAGTTGTCACATATAATTATCTACAATCGATACCAGTAACATGCTACAATGTCTGTCTCATCCAAAATACTCATGAGCAGGTAGTTTTTCATGATTTTTTGGTAGGCCATTTTTACAGAGAAGATTGAGTTTACCTAAACAGCTGGGTGTCTAGAACAGTTGTACCTCCCACTTCCCGCTGGGTCGAAACCAGAGGGGGGGGGGGAGATTCCAGTGTGAAGGGGGCTCCTAAACAGCTGGGTGTCTAGAACAGCTGTACCTCCCACCTCCCCCAGGGTGAAACCCAGAGGGGGGAAAGCTTCCGGTGTGAGGGGGGGGGGGAGGTTGACGAAACAAATTTCCTATTTGTCGAAATTCCTCGTTATTCCAAATATAACATATACTTCATTCAATGAGCAATAAGACGATGGTTTTTCCGATGACAACGTTTGCCGAATAATTTGCATCCTACCTATCTAGAGCACAATTTGGATAAAACTAAATTTTTATTCAAGAAATTTAAGCACTTCTAAACTTTTTTCAACTCTAAAAAATATTAATAAAGTTAGAAAATATATCCAAGGTGTTTTGTATTTGATTCTTTTTCAGAAACTAGCATTGTTTTTGTTGTTTCAAGCGACCATATTAATGTGTGTAAATACATTTGAGTTGCCAGAAAGAGTTGCCAGCCTTAGGATAATAAATATACTATATGAAAATACAATGACGTAAACATCGGAATCTGAATACATAATGAGCTACACAATAAATCGCTTGATAGCAAAGTCAGGCAAACTTTATGCATATTTGTAAATGTTTTTAACACATTTTTAACGTGCATATGACATGAAATTTCTTATTTTCTTAAATGAAAGAACTCTTTAAGCTGTAGTGTAACTTATTTTTCAGTTTCTTGTTTTTATGGTTTGTTCCCGAGATATTTCAATTTGTTTCATATGTAAATGAGTGTGAATATGTCCGCTAGGCGCTAATTTATGATGTCATGTTGGTTGCAAGCTCTTCAAAACGGTTGAATATCACGGCTATCATCCAAGATAATAATTTCAAACTTCACTCACTGGTAAATGTGATGAAACACTGGAGAAATACGTGAACAGATATCTACAGAGTTAATAGATTTATAACCAGTGTAAGTTGAGCTCGCAACCAGCATGACGTCATAAATTAGCGGACATATTCACACTCATTTACATATCAAACAAATTGAAATATCTCGGGAACAAACCATAAAAACAAGAAACTAAAAAATAAGTTACACTACAGCTTAAAGAGTTCTTTCGTTTAAGAAAATAAGAAATTTCATGTCATATGGCACTTTAAGTGAATATACATATTTTCTGTGCATGACTGGATATAAAATTCATCATGTATCAGTCAATTCCAGCAGTGCCCCCCCCCCCCAGGCCTTCGCAGCTTTCCTAATCCTGGGGGTGGGACTATCCCGAAATTTTTCAGCCCGGGGGGTGGGGACTTAGACGTTTTCCGTCATGGCGATTGGCGAACTATAACATGGCAGATTTCACTGGAAAAGATACTGAATTCGTTTGCAAATGGCTTGATAGCAATTCTTTTGGATGTTCTTTCAGTACCATTGTCTTT